GTTTCGATCGATCATCATTCTGCGAAACTTTCGAAATATTTTCGAATCCCTTTCCAGCTCGATCTGTAATAAAGTTGCATTCATCAAACTATCGCGCAGGGAAATTAGCTCAAATTTTTCAGGTGTTACGATACAATTTCGCTAGCAAGATACTTCCTTAACAAAACAAAAATCCTGACAAACAAAAATGTCATTGAATCTCATCTATCATTTTGCAGCACCATCCAATCAAATATTCAGTTATATTTCCAGGTTCTATAATACTTCTATTGATCCCTTTCAAAGTGGAAAGACTGAAGGAGGATCAAGTCAGTAGGAAAACTAACAATATCGATTGTGAATATTGAATCTAAAAGACCCATCAGTCTCAGAACCCTTTCGTCAGCTTCACCGAATTGAATGCGACCTCCACCACGTGAACGAGAACGCTTATCGTAGCACGCCGTTCGACGTACCGAATACACTTCTGTTTTCTGAAATCAACCAACTGAGTTTCTATTCGCTGACCAGATGGCTGATGAGAAATGCAGAAATTGATTCATAACATGGACCGAATGGCAGTTTATAAGATTGTTACCAAAAGTAAAATAAATTTTCTGAGTGCTTAGAGCAGCTAACACTGGAACTGAGCATATCTTATAAATGATCTGCAGATTTGCTCGAACATGCATAAAATCATATATCTGTATAATGATGAAAGATATAACGATTAGTTTTGATCGATGCAATGGTTAATTTGAACTTTAACTTGGTGATTTTATGGTATCATATTGTTATTGTGGTTCGTTGAATGCTTACCGGTATTTTCAACTTAGGATGATAGAGAGCGATTCCGTTGTTGTTCACAATAAACGCATACATTTGCTCGTGTTCAGGTAGAATTTTAGCGATTTGCTTGAAACGTATATCAATACCAGCAACACCCAACACTCCACTGCCACTCGCATTCTCCATTGTGTTCAGAATTGGCATCGATACCGTTAACGTTGGCCCCGAACCTTGACTGTCCATTAGTGGGGTTACCCTGAAACGCGTCATATATTTGAATGAGATCGTGAAAATTCCGAGGTTTGCACATGATTCGCTACAAAATGGCCTTATGAATTCAAATAATGATATGGTATTCCACTCACGAATTGAATTCTATCAGAAAACCTTTTTTCGCAGTCAAAAGTCAATGTTTTAATAGTCTCAATATTTGAAGAATGTGCGTCTAGTCTAGTCGACTCAACAACCTATTGTCCAATTTAGTAGATCCAATTTAGTGCGGAGCAGGAATTGCAAAATTAAATTCTAATTGAAAACTCAATTCCGTTAGCATATCAAATTAATGACATCCCATCTGAAGTAGTGATTTCATTCATGATTATCGCACAGTAATCATCAAAACATTATTCATCAACTAACTCAATCTTCAGTTTGCTCTCGAAAAAACTAAACTGGAAAATTCACCATGTGACGGGACGTGCCGACGGCGGATTGTTCGCATAGGCGATTGCGAGAACATTCGAAAGTTTTTTCAAATAAGACACGGATTGACGTTTAACGTCTGATATGGAATCAACGATTGCATACGATGCGTTCGTATGACACGCGATGTAGGCGAGTGCTGGCATCGGTCCTGTGCCGTAACCCATCGAAAAGCCAAATACACGAATCTGTAAATGAAGTAATAACACCGCAAATTCTGTTGATCAACTGTCATACAGATGATCAATCGAGCATTTAATGAATAAAACTGAGCAAAGAGTGCACAAGGTGTCAGCCTAGAATCGGAAAACGTAATCGGGGTCGACCGAAATGAGATGGCAAGACAATATTGCAAAATAGCCAGACAAATACGGTTGAGAAGAGCAATTAAGTGTGATAATAGTGGGAGTTGAAGAGATCTTGAAGAGGTTTATGTGCGAAACGCATAAACCTTTTGACTAGCTGAGTAAATAAATAAATAAAATTGAACTAATATGAGTCTGGGTCAACAATTTTCAAGTGATTTAAAAATATTAAAAGCTTCAGATGCTAACGGTACGGTGAGAAGTTACAAATCATCATTACGATTATTATTACTCTATTCTTTCCGCAGGTATCATTATCGACCCAGTGGTGCATCAAAGATCATTAATTATATAAGTCGAGACAAGAATGTTATGACGGGAAGAAAAGGATGCTCGAAGATGAGGAGTAACTTTGGAAGTAATTAATTGCGACAGCTAGGAACGATAAATGCACAGATATCCAGCTGATGAGAAAAGGATATGCGATTGCAATGAATTATTAATGTGATTGCTAAATAACTATCACATTCGGGGTTCGAAAGGTGTATCGGACAGGAAACTTCCGTAGAAATTTTACAATTTGAAAATTTTCGATGAGAAGATCTATTTGAATTGGAATAGCGAATACGTACCGGATCGGTGGATTGCAATGATTTTCGACTGTTAATCACACCAATTGGCCACTCTTCGACACCGTCAGTGAATAACATTATCAGTTTATGACCACCACTTCCTGTGTCACCATGGCGTTCGTCTTCTTTCCAGATTTCGGTGACATTCAAATCACCTCTCTGAAGCAAACATTCTCTTTTAGATGAACAATGCAAAAGAATATTGTTATCGGAGAGAACTGAAAAATTTAAGTCGAGGATGAGAAATCGCTATAAATTATCCAATAATTCTGCCATGTTCGCTTGAAAATGCATATTTTGAAAGCTCAGAATTTGTTTCTGATCGTTTCGATCATAAAAATCGTATGGCATAAAAAACCACTCTTCAGTCAGAGCAACTGAATTGTTATTGTTTCAGAATGTTGCGGTCAACTGATTGTGAGCGACGTACCTTGGTGAATAGAGAAAAGCTTAAATTAAGCGCCGGCACCAACTGAGCTTGGTCTCGTTCATCAATCCGTTCCAAATACTTTCGTAAAATCTGAAATATTTTTGATGGAAATTTTGAAAAAAAATATCCTGGGAATTACAAATTTATGTGAGAAGGGGATGGATGCAGTTTTTACCCGAAGATATGGGTTGCAGTTGCTAGAGCAGGTATGGTTTCCTATAAACTCCGAATCACTGACATATGCTTTGCTGGAATTTCAATCACTCCAAACAATAAAGTTTTTCGGAATCACTGTAAATTTGGAAAAGCTCATTGCTTATTTATTCTCCTCCTTGTTTATTTCATACGATGGAAAACTCTAGAAGTGTGGCCGCGTGGCGCAATGGACAACGCGTCGGTCTACGGAACCGAAGATTGCAGGTTCGACTCCTGCCGCGGTCGAAAGTTTTGCTTCATCTCAGTTTTCAGATTCGATTTTGCTACTACTTTTCACTGATTCATTTCGTTGTCATCATTTTTCTCGGTTAATTTTAATACGATTCTGTTGAATGACCTTATTTCCAGATTTCAAAACTATCTTCAAGCCACTTAGCTATCATCGTTATTATAGTTAACTATTGAAATTTTAACGTAAGGATGAGAACTAGTCATTCCTGTTACTTCTTTGTAATGATAAGTGCTGATCACAGACCATAGTTTCAGCTTTTCCCAATTGCGCTCCAATTCTTATTTCATCAACAGTTTCTACCGTCAGTTATAAGTTATAAGTTTTACCGTCAGTTATAAGTTTGACTTCACCATATGCACATATATCGAAATCCAGAGCTGTCATGTAATCAGCTGGCTAATTTTTTCAGATCTCCTCATATTCCTTTCAGATTCCCTCATTTTCAGATCTCCTCATATTCCTTTCAGATTCCCTCATTTTTAGATCTCCTCATATTCCTTTCAGATTCCCTCATTTTCAGATCTCATTTGGAATCTCCTTGCAATATTCTACCTCATATTCAGTACGCCAAAAAATGGGAAATAACGGAAAAATCCCAAAAATAAACTCATCATTTGCACTTTCAATAGCTATTTAAGAGCACTTTTATGGCTAGCGAATAGAATGCTTGCTGCTTGCCTGCTTACTTCGACTACATCGGATATTACATTAAAGGAAATTGACTGGAAAAAGCCAAGCGTTTTTGATAAATTGCCACTGCAAATGAACTCATATTGTCCTTGCACGAATATTTTATGATCGAAAACTGCAAACGAGCAAAAAAATTTGGTCAAAGCAGAAAATTAAGGAAGGAAACGAAAAAAATTTCTGTGCAATTTATCGTGCATACTGTTGTCAAACTGAAGAATCCAAAAACCAGAATGATTTTTTTTTCTCGCCTTTGCCCTTGTTCTAACTCTCATTCATTTTTTATACTCTTCAATTTCAAAGCTGAATTTTTTTTGTTGCCTTTACGCAAGCTTTTGATTTTGAACTCATTTCAACAAACTCTCTGTTGAATTCTATTTTATGGATTTTAATTCCCTGAGCGCGTAACTGACCACTGTAGTGTTGTCGTAAATCATGCTCCAGTATAGTATCACTAAATCAACGACATCGAACAAGCTTCATTCTGCTGTCCTCTCTTGAGCCACTCATTTCGAATGCTATACTGTGTGACTCCTTCGTATAATGAATGGTTTAAGGCGAAGATGCTCATTCAATTGGCTTTCAGTATTGTTGAAAATGTTCCTGCGGTAGGAAATTAGACATGATTCGTGGAATATAGAATGTGTTCACTTAAACTGATAAAGAATGACACTTTAACAAGTTTCTTTCAGCATTTAACGACCAATTTTTTGAAGTCAATTCAGATACTTGGTGTTTTTCAGTGTCTCAGATTAGATCAGATGATCACTCAACATCTACAGACAGCAAACGCTTTTTCAATCGAATTTTGACATGGCAACTGTGATTTTTTTTCCAGCCAATTTATCAATGCTATCAAATTTCATTAGTAGCATAAATTTTCTCAAAAATGCACTCGACACTCTTTCTGAGAACAGGAGCCTCGAAGCAGTTCGTTGTATGAGCTAATTATCTGTCCTTCGGAAGTGATAAATTTCGCAGACCAATCAAGCATCCACTCAATTAATCAACTACCCTCCACCGTATTCACCGGACAAAAACCCGAATAATTTGCTGTTGACATGGAATTGTTCCGCAGAATTATGCTTAGCCTTAGGTTCACACAAAAAATTCGATATGTATTCCCTGATCTGAAATCCAATTGAATAAAATCTGCGTCTTATAGAACAAATAATGTGATTCGTGTCCAAAGTGTTCGTATTTGAGTATACAAGCAACTATTCCATATGACACGTCCATATGATCTGATGAATAAGTGAAGCAAAAATTTGTTATCTGAGAATATCATTTGTTGTATGAGAACATGAAAAAAATTTTGAAGATGCCACAAATACTTATGCATCTAAATTCATGTGTTTGTTTAAAGTAAAAGTGG